GACCAACCTTTCAAAACAGAGTTGCAATCCCTCTACTAAATACCTCCTAAGAATCTATTAGAATAAAGCCAACAAAAAAAAAACTTTCACGACAAAAAGTGGTAAATTAAAAAACGGGAAAAAAATTCCGTAAGCGGAAGAAAATCCAATACTTCGGCTTTACATAGTTCTGGGTTTCTGCAAAATCTTCCCCAATTTTTATTTATATTTTAGAAATCAACAGCGGTAAAAGGATATACAATGCATGAGTTTCAATATTTTCAAATGAGGTGATGCCTCGTGAGCACACTGCATAACACAAATAATTGCCAGGTGGAATCTTGGATCTTTCTGAGATAAGGTACAAGTTTGAAGAAGTTCGCTTAATGCTTATTGCTTACTTTGTAAATGAAGTTAGTAATGCATTTCTACAAAACAATGGCTTACTGCATAGAGTTAAAAGTATATTACTAAAGTCAGGAGCGAATAATATGAAATGGCCAGATTCCATCTTCATTCCAGCAGGAATTTTCCATTCTTCAAAAGAAAAAATGCCCTAATTTTTCGGACTTATGATCGTCCATAGTTTGCCCACAAATAATTATAGATTAAAATTGATCATACCTGCCTCTCACATTTCCAATAGTCATGAACAGTGTTATTAGAAAAGATGGATTTAAAAGTCATCAAAGTTAATCCCATATGATTGCACGGGCACATTCTGAGCAATTTAAAAAATTTGAATAGATGAGAGGAAGAAGGAAGAATGCAAAGAATAGTGTCAAATCAACCATATGACCTTATTTCTGAAGTACTACGAATCTCTCCTCCCACACATTATCATATTGTGCACTCATTTGGCAGATGATCGGCCTAGTACTTAAGAACCTCTCCCCGAAACTTAAATCTTCAAATTTTGGTACTTTTATGCAGACAGAATGACAATTTTTTTATAGACATGAGAGCATGTAAATCTTTTTAACCTATTGACCTAGACAACTCCCACGAACCGCTCTTCCATCGAAAAATATTGGAAACAATCAATTTGCAAACTGTAGAATAAACCATCATTTTAGTATTCTTATCTGTCCAAGATATTAATCGTAGTGGTTGACGAAACTCTTCCAAAAAATTTTTAAATTCTCCAGATTCTTAACCTCAAATTTTCGCCTTTATATTTCATGATTTTAATTTATAAGGACGTGATGAAAACAATTTTCTCGTTCATAATTCTTCTGTTTTTCATTTTTCCGAGTTGTTACGGCACTCTCGAAATTAATAATGGCAAGGTGAAGTAATTTATCATTCAAATCAGAAGATTTCAGCTAATTATTGTGTTATAAATTTATTACAGAAGCAGAGAAAATCAATTGCTGAAGTTGTATATTTAAAATAGCAGAGTTTCAAAACTCAAATTTGTCAGCAATTATTTTGACAAAGCAGTGAACAATTTTGGTTCAATTTAAATTTTTTCCCAAATTAATTCAAGTTTTAACACTCTCAAAAAAATTTTAATGGCTAATGTGCAAATAAGCTGAAGATTCAATTTCAGCTGCTGCTGAGAACACATGGCATTGTGCGTGCTAGACGTGTTCGTGACATAGATAACAGGTATTTGGAGAAACACCACGTGGCGCCACGACGTCTCGCACGACGAGAAGCGATGCAGAACAAAAAACCGAAAAACATCTTAAAGAACAAGAAATACAAGACTAATTTTTTCAAATATTGGTAATTTCACCTGCTAATTTGTCATTCGAAAAAGAATAAAGTTGATTCAAACTCCTCTGGAATCAGATAATTAAATGTAAATTCCACTGACTTCTCACCGAATCATCAGCCCGTATAAAGTGCAAATCCGTTCTCATTCTGCAACTTCTGGAGTCTCACGCAACATTTCATGGCTCACCTAATCACGCGAACTAGGAACTTTCCAAATTCACCCACGTATTTTGTGCAGATGATAACATCCAGCCCATGTTCACCTCACTCGAACTAAGTACCATCCAAAACCATAAGGACAGACCAGTGCGCACTAACAGGATATGAACTGACCTCTCCACCCTTCAGAACGCGGACCAGCCAGCCTATCTTGGTACTCCCCATCCTCTCCTCATTTCCTTCAAAAACTGACCGATGCCTCAGAACCCTTTTCTCGTCACCGCCCGAGGCATACGACGGCAATTCCTATCAATTTTTCCGGTTTCATCATCGGCTAACTGGGTTACTCGACCGAACCTTATTGTGTGAGTAATGCAGACGGTGTGAAGTGGTTGCGGTGAGACAGCGAGAGAACAGTTCTTGTTGCACAGTGGAGAGAGTGCTGAGGGAAATTGCATTTAATTAATAAAGATCGGCGAATTATTGTCTTCTGTCTCATGTAATTTTCTCTTCCGATGGGGAAAGAGGCAGTCATCCATTTCGTCGTGCAAACGGTAAATAACCGCTTACTGTTGAGTTAAAAATTTAACCAGAAGTGAATTTGTAATTAAAATTCATAAAAATATTTGGTATGAATTTGAATAGTACAAAAAAGTTATTTAGGAATGAACTGGGACATTCAAATGGAAAAATGAATAGAAGGATAAATTTAAAGTTTATTTATTCGATCAAAAATGTGAGTATGATATTTTAGGGATATTGTGTTGTCGTTTTGTTTATAATAACATGAAAATGACAAAGGAACACAAGCGCCAAAAATAGAATTCTCGAGAAGAGAGATCTTTAAAAAAATCTTTTCTCTCTCTCTCTCTCCTTTTCTCTTTATTTTTCCCAATTCTTCCTCCTTCATCCATTTTTTTATATATTCGATGATGGAGGAGGCATTTCATATAAATTTAATCTGATGTCTGTTAATGCCATTCTTGATGATAATACTTGTCACCGGTAGTAATGAACCAACTGGGCATTCTGTTCCAGCTAAAAATATATCCTTATTATCATCACAAAGTATTGAATTTGACTGACAATCTATTTTCTTTTTCCATACGGTGACTTCATTCAAAGATGTCCAGTAGTTTGGATTTTGCAGGCATTGTGGACTTAGATGGAATTTGTAGAATCTGAAAATTTACTTAAATAAATATTTACTTACATAATTTTCATTTGATTTTTTGAAAAAGTAACTCAAAAATTATGAATAATGGACTGATAGAAATAGGCTAATATATTTAAATTATTTCAAATAATTAAAATCTGCATTCTGCAATAAAAGAATTCAATATTTTAATTTATTTTCAGACGTACTGATCACCGTAACATATTGTAATCCTTTTTAGATTGAAACGATGAATTTTTCTGGGATTCGGATATGTTCGAATTTCAATCGCCACTATCTTTTCAATATGTATTTTCGTATCGAACTTAAAACAATCATTTAATTTACTTTATCTGTGGAAAATTTGAACATATTCTCTAAAAATAAGGAACTAAGCAGGCAGCAACATTTTTTGATAACCTAAATTAATAACAATTATTTCGCATCAGTTTCTCTTCTAAGACTATATTATATCAGTCCCTCTCTCTCCCTCTCTTTGTTGTATTTATAGTAAGATTTTTTACCAATTTTAACAATCTGAAACAATATTTTTGATAGCCTTGTATATGTATGTATTGGCCTTGTATATGTATGCTCCCCGAATTCTTATTATTTTAAAAATGTCTAAAATGTGGTGCTAAATAATAATGATGTTTTCCATAATTTTGATTTATGAACGCTCTTTTTGGATTCTAATCAAATCGTGATAGCTTTGGAAGCTATTTGTTGGCTGAATGAATGAATGACAACTGGAAGGTATATAGAATGTTATCATTTCTTTTTTATTTTTTTTTAAATATATTTTCCGAGCAACACAGAAAAAACAAAAGTTGAACATTATAGAAATATGGCTGAAGTATGCAAAAAAACATTATACTACTAACATTTATTTTTGGATTTCGTTAAGGCTTTATTTTAATATCAAAAAGCCGAATCTAAGCGAATCACCGATAGGGTAGAAATACAAAACAAGTGCTAGATTTGCGATACAGGTGGAAAGCCTAAGAGTAGTCACAAGTGATTTGGCTGTTTTATTTAGCCTTATTTAATCGCTTAACGAGTTCAGACGTTCGATGGGAATAACAGTGATGATAAATCTGCAAAGTTTATTGAGCGTATGGCGGCAGCAGTGGCTGCAGCCGTGCGTGAATTCAGCAGAAGGGATGCACCGATATCAGATCTTGCCGATGTTAAAACATCCTAAAATGAAAAAAAAATTTTGAAATTTCTTTGACAAGATAGTAATATATATATTCGTCTATATTAATGTAAAGATTTTCCAACTTCCTAAAATATTGAAATTGTAAAATTTGCTAATTTCAAAAATTTCATATAATTAATTACGAAAATTGATATTTCATTTATCGAAAATCACTTTACCATCTCTTGAGAAAAGGGCACTGAAGAACTTGGATAAAACATAAATGGATTAGATGTCGATGTCGCCAGAGATTTCCGACATCGTGCTCGACGATTGCTAAACCAAACCTGAAAAATTGCACTCAAATATGAATGTTACATTTAAAAAAATTAGGCTAACCATTAAAAAATGTTGTGTGTGGAGAACACAATTGTAAGATGCGAATGGATGCAACTTTCACTCATCGATTGTATAAAACTGGACTAAACTTTCAGAGTTTCGAATTTAAAGAGTTTTATAAAAATCAATTGACTGAAGAAATGTGTAATTACAATATAGAAAAGAGAATTTGATATAACCTGTATTTTACCCTCATCCAGTTTGGTAGCTGCAGCAAGACGTTCACGCAATTCTTGATCCGGATAGGTGTTTGCTTTAAATGCCGCTTCTAGTACCTCTAATTGTTCTTGCGTAAAACTTGTTCTATTTCGTCGAGTCCTACCGATCATTTCTGTCCGACAATCCGGAAGTAATTGTTCAGTACTATTGCATTTTCCTGCAGTAATCAGTGATATTAATTATTGGTTTGTCAAATATTGTGAGTATAAAATTCAGCGAAACAAAAGTGTCTTCTATCTTTGTTATTATTTGTTTATTAGAAGAAAGTAGGAAATTTATAAAATACAAAGTACAGAATGCCTAACAAAAATATTTCAGTTGCAAACAGCAAGAAACGGTAATTGTTAAATTTATGTTTGTTCTGCTTACTGTGTACTGAAAAGACGAATGATATGGTTGATTAGGAAATTAAAAATTTTTCTTTTCTGTGCGAATTTCATACGATTCACAAACTTTTGACTGTACAAAAACACCAAAATGAATTTCGATCTTGAGATAATTTAAAATAAAATTAAAATTTAATAAACAAATGAAGATCTTCGGAGTATTTTGGTTTGAAAAAGAAAAACAAATGATTTTGAAAAAATTCTGAGTATCAAACCCAAATGATTCACTACTAGAATTTTGATTCTGTGATTGTCTACTTGAAAAATTGCTGGCAGATAGTTTACTACACGCAAACAGTTTAACTTTTTAAAGGCATACAAATTAGGCTTAATTATATGATTGATATGGAAGAAAAAATGAATTAGCACAATTGAACACTTCAAATAATAGTTCATACAATGACAAAATTACAGTTGCGTTTATCCACAGCAACAGCAACAGCAAAAAAAAAAAATCGTTTTAGCGCATCATTAACTAAACGATCACGCATGATTGATTATAGCTGATATTATATAGCAATTTTAATTACAACTTTTCTATCAATTTCTTTTTTCCATTTAAAGTACGCTATTGTTCAGGTATGTTTAGGGATACAAATGAATTGATATGCTAGAAAATATATTCGTGCTCTCTTCTGCGGTATAAATACCTATTGATTTTTTTTCTAATGCTATCCATTGTAGCGCAAATGTCGTAATTTGTAAAAGTCATGATTACAATCACTGAGTATAAAGAATTAATTTTAAAAGTTAAAAATTACCACAATATTTTTATAGCATTTTGATTAATGAATGAATATCAATTACCTGCAGAGATACCGAGAATGCCTTCTATGCTATGTTTTAATGTAAAGGCTTTTGATTGCTTCAGTGCAAAAGTTTTTGATGAGTATTGATTTTGAATTTCATTTCGCATATTCCTATCTCTGAAATATCCATTTTTGCTAACCATCAGTAATTTTTGAAATTATTTGTTTATAATAATGAATATTCCGAAATCAATCAAGAAGTTCACTTGCGAATATTACATTCTTCCTAATTTTCTTTTTTTTTTAAAAAAAAATATTTCCAAAAATTTCTTAAAAAATTACAACCTCATGTATTTATGTATTGAAGAAATGGTTGGTGCATTGGAACGACTACAAATTCCTTTGTCAATAAGCATTAAACGAATTTCATGAGCATTGAGAGTGGGTTGATCTTGACGAATTCGTGCTATATGCTCCTCCAATGCCAGAATTGTTTTTCTCAATCGTGGATTGCCACCGATCTTAAAGTTTTTGTGACATTTTAACTGTAATAAATAAATGGATTTAGGTAATCAAAAATGAAAATTTAATAAAAAATTTTTAAATTTGTTAATGTTACAAAAGGTGCAAAGGATAATCAGTGCATAAAATGATTAAACAAGCACATGGAAAAATAATTATGGATTGCTACAAACGATAATTTGTAGCGTTTGCTAATTTTAAGAAGAAATTAGCATTTACTAAACATATTGAAAATTTTATGCGATAATTGTATTTTTTTCGAAAAGTTTACATGGAAAGAAAAAATTAATAATAAAATAATAATAAAATAATAATACGGTATTAAATTCTCTCGTCACTTTTTTTTGGAATGTGTTACAGTTTTCAGTAATTGACATCATCATGTGACTAGCTATTTCATGTAGAAAGAATTTGTTAAAAATAGAAGACCAATAATTGTTTCTGTATTGAATCTAATCATGTATTGATTGATACTTTGCTATCTTTTAACGCTTCACATTTTTTCTAATTTTTTAGTTAAAAAAAGTGCAATTTTTTTAAGAAATGAATGTCGAATTTTTTAACACACAATTAGTGCTAGTCATGCAAATTTAATGCACATTTGGGAATTTCACACGTGAAAAATAGAATGAAGTATTTCAGAACACATTGTCAATGTGAGGAATCCAATCAACAAATCATTGAAAAACCTATTTTTTGTGGAATGCATCCTTTATTTTATTTAAATTCGCAATTTAGTAAGGTGAACTGATTGAATTTAACTGAATAAAAACTTTATAATTTCAATGGTAACATGAAACTGTTATCAAAAATTCAATAATTGGTATGTTTCAAGAATGTTATGAGATGGATAACTGAGTGTCAAATATCATTTTTAGAACTATTCGCATGATCAGAATTGAATCTGCATAATACCAGTCTTTTATTTCTCTGTTCTTTTTTTTACGTCAGAAATATTGTTCAATTTAATATATTTTTTATTTGCAGATGAATTTTGTGGTCGGACAGAGATCTCTCGGAAGAACCTAACAATTGGCATGATTCAAGAAATCAATACTAACAGTTATACCTTCTCATGATTTTTACACTGAAATTAAGAAATTGACTTATAAGAATGGATCCCGAGATTTTTCGAGTAACTTTATCTTTTTTACCCTTACACATAGCAACTGCCAGACGAATTCTGCTAAGAACCCAAAATTCTATATTTTCAAATGTTCAAATAAGATTTTGAAAAGCATCTATCATTTTATGTGTTTAGCTAACATAATTATATTAATTAATTGAGCGCAAATTTGTCCGTATTTGGAATGAATTACTGAAAGCTTAATAAAGAAAATACCAGTCATGAACTTGAAGGAAAGAGTAATGGGCAAAGATGCATAATCATCTAGAAGTATTTCGAAAATATATAAACTATGTAAATTATTATCGCTTTTTGTACGGGTCATTGCAGTTGAAGCGAACTTGCATAGTAATTCTAAATTTTTTTACGTATGTAAATTAAATGCGCAAACCTGCCCAGGTGATACGGATCCAGTTTCAGCATAACGATATAAAATTTTTGATACACAACCATGCGAAACACGTAATTGTCGGCTGATATGACATGGCCTGTAAGATTTTTGCAGAAACTTCCATCAAACTTCGATAAAAAAAATACGAGAAAATATAGCTATTCATAAGATTTAATAATCAATTAGTTCATCTTTGAGCAGTATCATTCCTTCCAAGGATTTAAGAAGCACGTTTCTTATGCTTAATTTTTGAGACGATCGTTTTTGTAGAGCACATTCCTTGCACAGGTAAGAACTCAGAAGCAAAAAAAACCTTTACAAGTGAAGAAAATGAAAAAGACCACCCGTGAAACGCTTTTATCTTTTGTGTCAAAAAGGGTTAGAGAAAATAAATAGCGCTCTTAAATTTAATGACCAAAAAAATGTCATTAAGAAAAGAATGAGGAGGGGCTAAAAAGAAGGAAAGTTGCTAGATGTGAAGTACACAATTTGCTTTTTTAAATAAATTATCTTGAATGAAACTACCACGCTAACATGGGTCATTTCAATAAAATGATACACTTGCTATAGCAGAAAGAGGTCATTAAATTTTATTGTGTTTATTTGATTCGTTTCTTCCAATCATAATTCATTAAAGTTGTTTGTTTAATTTACCGCTTTTGAAATATAAACTGATTCATATATAACAGGAATATCATGCAGCCATAAATATATCATTCCAAGAAGCTTGCGATCATAATAGTTATTGAGCATTTCGCCTAATCTATCCATTGGTTTAATTATCGATCAACTTTGTAAGCAGTTATTTTTCCGTAAAGGAAATTGAAACTTCCAGGCGGTAATGTGATTCACCCAACTTTTCCATTCTATGAAAGAATTATGAATAAACTGTACCTGTAACTTATACAGCACTTTAGCAGTAAAGTATCATTCACTTCAAATATTAGGAAAGTGAATGCTTCTTATATTCTCATGCAAATTGCAGCTCTCCCAAATTCATATGTTTATAAAGTGTGTCAAAAAATTTAATACTGTTTATTTGAATAGCTACGCCATTGATGATAGTGATAACAACACTGAGTGATAATCATATGGCTATCACAGTGATTATTACAGTAGTTGTGACAAAACTTTGTAGTAATTTTATAAAAAAGCTTAGACTAACTTTACGCCATTGGTAGCCATTTCAACAATTTTCAATCGGATGTGCTGAGGCAACGGCCGGCCATTAATAAATATACCACCAAGTTGATTCACTCGACCCTATAGTTGTCAATTACTTTTTAACTAGTTTTCAATTCCAGCAAGGTATAGCTAATGCAAATTAGAAGTATTGGATAGGAAATGAAAATTGGAGCATGCTTGTATTAAATAATTTCATGGTTATTTAAAAATGCAAGAGATTAATTAGCAGTTCAGTTTTTGCTGTAAGAAAGTTAAAGAAATCAAAATGCTAGCATTCAACATCAATAAAAAGATGAAATCTGAACGATGACCTCTGCAGATCATGAAGTATTTCTTCCTTACAATGTGAGATTTACCACGTGAACGATTAAAAGCTTTAATGTTTTGTCATTTTGAAGCATTCAGAAATGAATGTAAAGAGAACCAATGTAATTTGACACAAACCTCATGAAATTTTGGAAGTTTCAATGATTTAACACAGTGTAAATGTGCTCTCCGAAATTCAACAAATATTTTTTTCCGGATAAATCTCTTAATGAAAAGACATGTCTTCATACAATGTTATTGTGGCGTTTTTGATGAACTGCTTAACTTTTTCATCTTTCCATTTTAATTCATTGATAGTTATTCTAAGACATTCGTTGCTGTTAGGATAGTAGCTTAGAAGGGTTGAAGAAGTTGAATGTGTAAGAAATTTCGAAGTGTTGATGGGTCAATCAGAATTTCAGCTAACTTAAGGGAAACAAATAATTTACCTGTCCCATAATATTAGCAAATGTGAAAGAATGATGATCGGATGTTAGTGCCGCGGTATCACTAACAATAGCGGTAGTAGTGCTGATTGAAGTAGTATTGGTATTACCTGTGGTACAAGCCATTACTGTGCTGGTAGTACCAATGACAGCGACAACAACAAAAACTTCAACAACCAATTCACACCATTTACCGATTATTTAAAAAAGGAATGATAATTTTGGTGGTTTGATGTGCGGGGCGTCGGTTGTCCAAAAGGTGGGAGTGTTCTGTGATTGAAATCATTTTTATGTATCGGAAAATATGAATGCTCGATGTTGGTGTGATTGCTACTACCATAACACTCATCACACACACACACACACACACACACAACTTAACTTCACCTCTTGCTTTGCTTATTATCATCTTTTTAATCTTCTTCTCCTTTACCTTCCTTATTCACCTGTATTCCATTTGACACAAACACCTGCGCAGTTACCAACGGATTTAAGTTTTGAACTCTTGTCCTCCTACGCCCTCTTCACCTCCCTCCCACCTACGGTTTGTTTTGTTGATGTCTGATAATTATACGCTGTCAAGACCTATCATAGCATTATTAACCACCCAAAAATTTCCCGTGCGATGTGTGTTTGTTTAGTTTCTGCCCCGCCTCCACATCAGGGTCCTATGGTTTACAGATCTGTCACCGAACATCCCAACCTCCACATTATTAAGTACCGTATCAGACACAGAAAAACACATATTCTATGCCAAAAATTTTATCAATTTGTCATCACTATCATTATCCCATCCATATTATCACCGTTATTATCACTGTTATAGAAAGATTTATTAACTGTAGTAAAATTGCATGTAAATATAACAGAACAGTCAGTGTAGGATTTAATAGAAGTTGGCAAAATTTGTTACTTGGAGATATTGACATAGTAATTTCAAATGCTCAATATAATACTGACAATAAGATCAAAAGGAAAATGAGAGGAATTTGATAAGAATACATTTCATTAAAACATCAAGTCTAAATGAATCCTTCATTTTTATATCGGTTAGGTTTAAATCTCAAAAGTTTGTTTAAAATCTTTCAGATCTATTTCTTTTCTGCTCACACATTTTGTGAGGAAAAATTAAAATGAGATGGAGCAACTTCCTGTTCTGATGTGATTTGCAGTAAAAAATCTGTTCGGAAAACTGTCTCTTCTCATCTTCAAAATTAAAAAGAGCGTTCGTGTTTAAAGGCATAAGGATAGGTTCTAAATGTTTTTTGAATATAGTAGTCACACTTTAAATAAATTTCCTATCAAGACGATTATAAACATAACTTTTTTTTGGTAGAAAAGGTGTTTGAGATTACAAACATAAGCAAACAGGTATGCTATTATTAAACATTACCGAACAAAGTAATTGCCGTTGCATGACAGTAAGTAAAATGAAAAACGCTGATATTTTGTGCGTTCGTTTTTTGCATAGTCTTTTTCGATTATCTATTTTTATTAAAACTTATTCGTCAGTAATTTGTGTGTTCATTAAAATGCAGAATTTTTCTTGCTCAAATTTGCTCAAGAAATAAAAAACATTTTTATTTTTAAAGCGAATGAAGTATTAATAGAAAAAACTTCGACTTCGTTGGTAACAAAATACTTGACCGTAAAGCAGTTATGTGAAGTTCATAATCAAATTAGCTTAAAATTAGATTTTTTATGGATTTGTAATCAATTTAAAAAGATTTTTTATAGAGTTTGTAACCAAGTTTGTAACTGATTGTAATGAAAAATTTAAATTGATAAAAAAAATTTTTTAATTTAAATTGATAAATTTGTTGATTTTAAAATTTTGAGATTTTGAAGTTGAAGTGCTGCTTATGTTTTAGATGTTGAAGCAGCTACTTGTTGCAAGCGTGATTTTTTTTATTTTTTGTCATGTTTTCGGGTTTCAGTTTTTAAATTCTAGTTTCTCGGGACTGGAATTTCTTCCTCGTTTACACACAGGTTGCGGTATGAAACAAATAAACAATCATCACGATCTTTCGCTTATAAAGTATCTTTTTGCATCGCTTTAGCAGTAATTCATTCGATTTCATTCAGACGATTTCAAATAAGAATTTGTCACAGAACAGAAAATATCCTTAAAAATTTTTACAATTTATAATTCTAATAGATGCAGTAACTTAGTTAAACTTCTCGAGAAATAATGAGACCAGTAATGAATAAGAATTAAGATGTTTGACTGCTGATCCTAATAATTCATAGGATCGTCCGAATATTGTCATCTTCAATACAATCTTTTAACCATTTATATGAATTCATCATAGTATTTAGCAAATCCGTCCCTTCCTTTAGTAAAAGCATTACTTTAGCGATATCATAAAAAATTCTTTCTGGGTAAAGCATAGTCGTTCTTCATCAAAATAGCTATTATTAGCTCGCTTCCTTCATTTTTTCCTAATGATAATCCAAATCTAATATATATGCAAAAGATAAATCGTTTCAGTAATAGCGATATTTAAGTTTTTTTTTCCCTTCCTAATTTAACATAATTTTTATGTTCAACTTTTTATACCGCTCTGAATGTAGAAAAGATCAAAACACTGAAGACAAAAAATTTGTATTCTTTTTCATTTATAAGAGTCTTAGTTATAATAGTACTTCGATTCAGTTCACATGTTATCAGTTTTGAAATGTTAACAAATTTTCAGCTTTCATTTCTCAATGTTTCTCGAAACATTCTGCATATCTGCAGTAGTTATCAGAACATTACATAGCTTTTCGTTATTTTTTTTAACAGCGAGTAAAAAATTTTTCTCTTCTCGTTGGGTAATTATGAAATAAAAGGATATCTTTCAAGCAAATATATTTGATTTTAATTTCTTTTCTGTCTTGAACAAATTAATCAAATCAAACGACCTCTTCTCCAACTTGTCAACAAATTTCATTTTGCTTTTTGTTTGATTCTT